TACTACTACTGCTACTACTACTACTACTACTACTACTACTGCTACTACTACTACTACTACTACTACTACTACTACTACTACTACTACTACTACTACTACTACTGCTACTTACTACTACTGCTACTACTGCTACTACTACTACTACTACTAGTACTACTACTACTACTACTACTACTACTACTACTGCTACTACTACTACTACAACTACTACTACTACTACTACTACTACTACTGCTGCTACTGCTACTACTGCTACTACTACTACTACTACTACTACTACTACTGCAAATACTATTACTACTGCTGCTGCTAATACTGTTGATTTTTATCTAAGATGACGAGGAGAAAATTCAGTTTGTCGACTGGACAAAAGTGAGTTTGGTTGAAGACGTTTCTCAGCTCATCCAAGCTGCTTCTTCAGTTCTGGTCAGACACTGGTGACACTTCCTTATATCTGCAGGGAGGAGCTAACTACACTGAAACTCCTCTGAAACTAACACATCTACTTGTTTACAGTTTGTGTTTGTTAGTTCGGTCTATTGACCTGTACAGGGTTTGGGGTCTAATTATCAGAACAATTCATGTCCATAATGAAGCTTCCTAACCTCTGGTCCTGACCTGGATACACCTGTTGTTCTTGTTTGTTTTGTTTTAGGTTTGAGGATGGACGTGTAAATAGGAGACAGATGGTGTCTGAGTCCATTTCTGTTTAGAGAAGAATTCTCTTAACAAAAGTAGCTTCTTTCACTCCCTCTCAAACCAATTCTTTTCTCTGGTTAAAATCTGTACCTCGCTGTCCTCAAATGTGCACTGAATCCACTGAACGCTACATTAGAGAAACTAAACAGACACTTCACAAGAGGATGAACCAACACAGACGAGAAGCAACACAGGACCACAGTCTGATGTACATCTCCACTTAAAAACCATGGCCCACCGTGATTTTAGCGAATTTGTATGAAGAAAAACCCACCACTTCAATCCAGGTTAAAAAAAGCTTTGTGATGCGTTTTACTCACATTTATACCGAGTAAAATATTACAAGTTTTTCCCCTGTAATGTCACATTACTGCGTTACAGCAAAAAGCAACACATTACAGTAATTCATGACTTTTATAACGCGTTACTCCCAACGCTGATAATTTCGGAAAACATTAAATATCAGCCTAAAAATATTGTCAGATCTTAATGGAAATCGGTTGCTTTGGATTCTAAACAACAGTATCGGCATCTGCCAGGAAAAAACCCTCCTCAGTCACTTTCTATTACTGCTTCTACCATCATCACTGCTTTTTTTTTTTTACTAATTACTAATTTTACTAATTACTAATATACTACTTATACTAAGACAACTGGTCCTATACTACTACTACTACAAACACTACTTTACAACCACTACTACTAATACTTACATTAGAGAACTGTCTTCACGCTGCAACTGTTTTTAATTTCAAAACAACTGAAGCTTTCAAATGTTTAATCCTGAATATTTTGCCCCGGAGACGAGAAAATGAAAGTTTGTTTTCCAAATCGCTCCATGAGCCGTTGGCCACATACAAATTCAAATGTACGACTTAATATTCCCAAGAATATTAAAGGTTCATGTTAGACTGTTCTGATCTAGAGCCGAGTATCGTTAAGAAACTAACGATACGATACATACCTCGATACATAGGCCACGATATGATACGATACGATACATACCTCAGATACATGGGCCATGATATGATACGATACGATACATACCTCGATACATACCTCGATACGTACGCCACGATACGATACATACCTCGATACATGGGCCATGATACGATACATACGATACTTCGATACATACGATATGATACGATACGATACATACTTGATACACCTCGCCACGATAC